AAAAATAAATCCCAAGCTTTGAGAGACAGAGTGTCTTGTTCCAATGGTCAATTACTCTCCCTGTTAGAAAGGTCTTATTTTTTTGTTGTGGAGGCTTCTGCTAGATGAAACAGACAGTGTAGGCATTGGAAATCTTTCCCCATGTAAATATGAAAGGACAGGAGTGGGTCACCTTTTGGTCTTTAGTTGGCTAAGTTATTTGTACTGAGCTTTGCTAGTCTTTGTTGTAAGGAAGTAAGTTGGTTTTTTTCCTGATCTCCAACCATCCTTGTACCTCTTTTCCTGAAACCTTGTCTGCTTTTACTTTGTGGGGCCAGTGGAGTTGGCAGCGCTCATGAAGTCTTGTCAGTGCCACGTGTGGATGGCAATGCCATGTTCCTGCTCTTCAGCATTGCCCATCTAAGTGGGGGAAACAGCCTGTTCAACCAGTCAGCTGCTGCTCCAGAGCTCTCATTATTGAAAGCAGAGGAGTATGCTGTGATCCAAACTCATCAGACAGTAGCCAAGAACAAAGAGGTCTCATTGCTTGACCTTACTGTCTTTGACCCAGGAAAAAATAAACAATCCTGGTCCTTTTAAATTTCAGGTCATGGAGGTTGCACAAGGAACTTTCTGAAAATACACATTAAAGCAAAAACAATAGGAAAAGGAAACCTAAAAGTTTCTGGAAGAGCACAGAAATAGTAAGATGGATGTGTCCCTAGCACCCCTCCCACCCCCCAAGTAGCGGAACAGGTTTGCCCTGGTACCTCCAACCCAATCCCTTCGATGCCCTGGAGGAGCTCCGACGTGCAGAGCTGAGCCTGGCTGCGGGCTCCTGCTCCCAAGCCTTGCACTGGGGTTGCGCCTACATAGAAGCCTGAGAGTGGGTGCAAAGCTTTGGGGTTTGGGGAGTGAGCTGATGCACTTACTTAAAATCTTGAGCCTACTTGGCAAGATGACCCAGGGGGGCTTCCTTTGGTGTTTCACTGTTGTCTTATTGTCAGAAAAGCAGTAAATTTGAGGTTGTTCTCTTCTTCTTGTAAATTGGATTGTCACTGTGGAAGGCTTCTTAATTTTCCATTTCTCCAGTAAGATCTATTATGTGGCTCCTAGCTGTGACTTTTTATTTTAATATTCTCTCTCTTTCTCCACTTAGTATTCCTGTACGTCTGCTTATTATTATAAACTATTTGTTCAACTTTGCAGGCGATTATAAGAACAAATAGCCTAGTGATGCATTGACTTTGTGTGTGTCTTTGACAGTGCCCCAGCACCCCCTTCCCTAAGACTGCTCTTCCAGCCAAGAAAGCCAGGAGAGAGTGAGTCAGTGCCATGCATGTGAAGAACTCGGACATTTCCTTACTCACTCAACCCCAGAAGCTCTTTTCCCAGGCCTCACATTCAAGCCTTCATTAGAAATTTGAGAGAAGTGCTTTACTGTGGCTGCTGGCTTGGCTGCTTTTCAGGTTCAGAAAGAATCTCCTGTATTCACCAGCCATTTTTTTTGCTTTTTCATGTTTTTAATATTTCTCCAGAAACTTGTATTATCCCCCTTAACAGTGCAGAAAAATAGCCACATGTGCATAATGTTTTAGAGCTTCTTTGTAGCATATGTTAATATCTGAGACTAAAAAAGTCTCTTGGTCCCAGTCTCATTTTTAATAGGATAGCAAACTAAGAGGATACATGAGGATTACTCTAATCTCACCCTGGAGCTCTCTCCAGCACTAGTGCCTGCCTGGGACCCATTAGTGAACTGCCTTCCCCAGCGCTCTAGAAAAGATGTGCTTATCTTGATTGAACAAGTACCGATAGCGAAAGCAAAAGCCTGAGCGGTCATGCTTTAGAAAGAATGGATTAGCTAATTGATTGTGAAAAGAAATATTAGGTTGGCGCTAAACACCCTTTGGGGTGCTGTACCCTCCTTGCTTTCTTCTTTGGTCCCTTGAGAGTATGTTTTTATGCTGGGTGGTGGTGGTGGTGAGTGTTAAACCCAACCAACTCCTCCTCCTCAGCACATGCAATGGAGTGCTGGAAGTGAGCTGCTTCTCCAGTGCTGTGGCAGAGGTTTCTGCGCACATGGCCTTTATACTTCTCTATATTCGCCTCAGTTGAGGGCTGGGGTCCTAGATAGGGAGAACAAAAGCAGGAAAAGGGTGTTATTTCTGGTGGGATTCATGCTTGCAGGTGGTGGGAGACCAGTTCACCTGGAGGTGACAGAGTCCTAGCAAATGTGTGTGAAACTGGTCCTTGGGACACCACAGCCGCTCTCCTACCTCATCATTTCACCATGGCAATGAGCTGGTGCAGTGGCATACAGCCCTTCCCTCGACCCTTCTTTAGGGGCAAGGGAAGAGCTTGCCTCCCTTGGGTGAGGCACTGAGGGAGGCAGGCAGGAGTCGGGCACACAGCATGGCCAGCTGAGCCAAGCCAGGACTCGAGTGCAGGTTTTACCCATCTGTATAGCTCACAGCATTATCTTTCTCTCCCTTTCGCACTGAAAATAGCTACATTTTGCCATGAGACTCTACTCTTGAATGCTTCTTTAGACCATTTCCAGACAGCATCAGAGAATTTCCCAAGCAGAGGAATCACCACTGTCGACAGAACGACAAGTCACACACATGGTTTCTCCCTTCTTCTCTTCCCTCCCCATCCATCCCCCCCCTCCCCAGGGTGAAATTTCTAAAGTCTTGTACACTGCACAGAATGCAAACAGACGGTGGGCTAGTTAAAAACATACTTCTTTTTATTTGAAAGTTTTCTATCCACAGATAAAAGGCAGCTGATACATTACATAGTATACTTCTTTTTCTTAGTATGCTTATTATTCAGTGTGTCTGGGAAAAGGAATGATTACTGGCTCTAACTTCCCATAAGAACAGTGAAGTTAATGGAATAATAAATTAAAGTAGGAGTAGTCCACATTATGCATAAAATAAATGTTAACAGATACAAATATGACATGAATGATGACTGATTCAGTTTCCCTTCTCCTCAGGAGTTCAGTGTCTTTATTAGAGTGGTTGTGTAAGTTGAGTTTTTATTAAAATGCAGCGGTGCTCTGAGAAGCTGTGAAACACAAGAGCCACACAGTTTGTTTTTTTTTTAATTGAGTGGGAACATCTTCAAGAAACCTTGCTAGTGAGAAGGAGGGTGCTGTTCTCCTGCCCCTGTGCCGGTTGGTTACTGTCCCTGCTGCTGCACGGAAGCAGAGTACAGGCTGCAGCTGACCCTGGCTAAGGCACACGCAGCACCCACCAACCATTTACATTACAGGCGCTACCTATTCAAGGGACAAAACTCCACATGCCCCTTGGTGGGGGGGGGTGGAAGGGAAAGGGGGGAAGGGCCATGCAACCCTAGTGTACTGGCCACCATCTCTGGGGGGGTCCCCATTATCCCCTATAAGTGCTCATTGCTGGAAACCCAGTACCCGCGCCCTCTGTGGTGTCAACCCACAAGCAGCTTCTGCTGGTCTTGAGGAAAGAGCTGTAAGAGAGCTCTACCATGTCAGTGTGCTTGCTTTTCTGTTTACCTGAACTTGCGTGGGGTCCCACAAGTGCTTTCTGGCCGATGGTCACCCCCAGGCTGCGTGTGCCCAGCCAGGGCGTCCTGGGGGAGCCGGTCCTGTGCATGGGCTGAATGTCAGTGCCGGAGGCTGCTGCCCGCGCGCATCAGGCCACCTAGAGCCAGGACTGCATGCCTTCCTCATCTGCCTGGGGGAGTCTCAGAAAGTGCCAAATCTGCTACAGGGAGGTAGGTATTGAACAGGGACTGCCCAGCAAAGCCTGGAGAAAGGAACTTGTCACACAGAGCAGCAGCAGAGTGGCAAGAGCTCTCCATTGGAGACTGGGGAGGGGAACTGAGTAGCAGGGTCCATACAAGGTAAAGATCCAAGAGTCTTTACCGCAACACAGATGCTGACCCATACGTTACACAATGAGAAAAGTCAACCATGTTCTGAATTACAGGGCTGTAATTCCACCCCGGAGGACCTGATGACTACAGAAACCACCTGAGCTCTGCTCCCCTGGTTTGACAACCGTATACACCTGGATGCAATTATAATCCTGTTGTATGTCTCGGCTGCCCAGCACTTTCTTTTCCTCTCTCCCTGTGTACTTAAGATTGAGGTTGAAGTTTCAACTAGTATTAAAACACACACAATCTTAGTGGGCCAGTAGTCCACTGACCTTCAAAATTTGCAAAAACCTTCACAATGTGGCTATAAAATGAGTAATTGAAATAGCAGAAACAAAATAATTCTAAAAATGTCAGAAAAATATAATTAAAAAGTACAGTACTGTGTTGGAAGACATTTGCTTCATCCACTGGCTTAAAAAAAGAAAAAATATCATTTTTTTTTTTAAATTTTCCCTCTGCAAAAATTGGCAGAAGCAAAATTTCTTGTGACATCAGAGATATTCTGGTATCCGAGTAAGAGTATGCAGTGAATTTGCTTTGAACCACCATCTACATACAGGTCATTTATATGAGTTGTCTTCAGTTGAACATTGCTTTTATTTCCTATAAAAATACATGTTTAAGTATGTGTGTATATACACATACGTGTCTGTTGGAAAAATCTGCATTCCTTCTGAAGTTTATAAGGAAGATCAAAGTAATATAATAGTAGTAATAAACTTTACAAGGAGACTTAAATGACTCATTGTTCATACAATATTTAAATATAAAGAACACAAATCACCAACGCAGTTATTTTTTTTTGTGCTTTACAACCCCTATAATACTAAAGCAAGTTTATATTAATACCTAAATGAAAAGAGTTAAGACTACTGCTGTAGGGGCTGCTGTTAGTTACCTCCACCGTGCTCAACACTACTGAGTAAATGAGGCCCAAATTTCAGTTGAAAGAACTTGGTTAGCTTGAATTTCATCCTATTGATTTAATTATTGGCAGGAATATGAAAATACATTCAGTGTAAGAAAGCTTAACAAGCCAAAGGAAAAAAAAAAAGTTCCTATTATTCCTACAGCTATTTTTCAAGAAATACTAGATGTTCCAGCTTTAACGCTACATTTTTAAATCTGGGAAAAAAAAATCCATGAGTAAGGAAGACAGATACTGTTTACGAGCCTTCAAGGAGAACATTTCACTGACATTAAAGGCAACTTTGCAGACTCACTTGAAATGTATCAATTTGTAATCTACACATTTACAGGGGATGCTCTGCTCTGAAAGCTGTTTCCCAATCTGTGCCAAAACATGTGAGGCTGTGTAGAATACTTCTGATGATAGACCTCCAGGCTCCGCTTCTCCATAATTGATTTAGTTATTAGTTATGCAGGGAGAGAAGAGATCCCTGAGGCTTGGTAAAACAGTATTCAGTTACTAAAAGCAGCCCTTCGTGAATTAATGTCATCCTACCAGCTCTTTCTGCTCATTATTCCTTCAAGTCTTGTTTTCCTGGACACCAGCTGTCACAGGGGAAGTCTCCAGCCTTTTCTTCTCCGGCCTCCCTGGCTGGCTGAAGTTGCACCAGCACGGTCTGGAGTGTCTCCTTCACCACCTGGATCTCCCTCTGCAGAGACTGTGCAAGCTTTATTAAGGAATAAATCTATAGGTGATTGGCAGTCCCTTTTCTCTTTCCAAGTTATTAAATAAATTCTTGTTCTGCTGCTCACAACAGATGGCCAGGGCTATCTAATTGTAGCTTCAAGTTCTTCCAAATTGTTTGGATTAAATATTAATACATTTCTCACACTTGCTTTCAAAAAAAAAAAAAATCCAGGCAAACCGAAGTTCTCAAGTAGCATTATTTAGCACTTTAAAATAAAGGGAGGGGATGGGGGACACTGCTTGGATACCATTCTCATGGGAAGGAAGGAAGGAAGATGAAGAACTGGGACCAGAGGGGCAGCAGCACTAGCTGCGAGTTCCCTGAGGGATGGAGAGTGGATTCTTAAGCCAGAGACACCAACCTGGGTAGATCAGCCCCCCAGTGAAGGCAGCAGGAGCAGCCTGAGACATCAGCTCAGTGACCACAGCTTGTGTGGCATTAGCGCGCTCAGCAATGTGTGCCGTGCAAGGCCGGGTGGGAACCTAGGTAAGTAACGAAATTAGCTTATGGGAGAGAAAGTGTTTCTGCTCTACTTACCTCCAGAAGGCTTTAATCTTAGCTGAATTATCAGTATAATTATAGTGCAGAAAATGCAAATATAAAGCTATACCAGGCTCCACAGTGAATGCTTTGAACAAGCTGAAAAGCAAAGAGATTAGCAGTAGCAAGGTTGCACTGTCGTGCATTAGAAAGGAAAAAGCCACCTGAAAAGCATCTGGTAATTCAGTAAAAATACTTCATTTGGCCAAGAAAGAATAGTTTTCCACATTTGACTTGCCATTGTTTAGGTCAGGTTTCCTGCAAGGCACTCAGGAAGAAAACGTTGGCTCATGGGTCAGCTTCTTAAGAGACCTTCCACTGCCCTCTTTCCCCAGCTACACGATGACAGAGGGAAAGCATCAGGTGGTGGCAACAAGAACACGAGGGGTGCAGCAGTGAACAGACCAGCAGATGAAGGTAGGACATGCATGGAGATATAGGCAACTGCTGAGACATGCACAAGTTTTTAAGTGGCTGGGCTTCTTAGGCAATACAGCTTTTTTGATCTGATGGCTGGTCTCTCCTGGGCATAAGCACAGCTTGTACTATCAATACATCAGCCTTTCTGCTGATACTCTTATGTTAGTGAGAGTATCAGTTGTTGAATCGAGTGCAAGAAGTGGGTGTAGCTCAGCAAGACAACCAACCTCACCTTCTCTTCCATAGCTTACACTATGTGGAGAGCAAAGGCAAGCATGAGACAAGTGAGAGCCCACTGAAGCTCTCAACAGATGACCAAGTTTATGTGAACAAACTTTAGGGCCCAACCCCATCCACACTGAGGCCTGCTGTACAGGCATGGCTGAAGGGCAAGGACCCCCAAAAAGTGAACCCAAGCGGGTCAACGGAGAGAGAAATAAGTTCATTTCTAGCAGTAAGTCATCAAATGGTCTCTGAGAGAGCCAGAAACTCACTTCAAGGGAAATGAAACAGGCTGACACTGAAACAACTCCATTTCAAAAACACAACACACAGGAAGAATAACGCACAAGGACAGGCTTTATCCTTTACAGAGCTCATCGATTATGAAATGTTGTTTTACTTGACCCCAATGTCAATGCAATGTCAAGAAAAGACGACACCCTCAGGTTACGTGACTGTAAAAAGCGAGCTGCTACTTTTGAAAAATTGTGACTAGAGAGGACCATGGGAAAGCTATACAAATCACTGCTCTTTCAGGCAGTCACAGCTATGCCTTTGAAAAGACTTTCGGCTGCTTTCAATTCTGTTATCATTTCTTTAGAATTTCATCTTTGTGTATTTACATACATTTCCTATGAAGTTTTACTCCTAATTTGTTCACCAGGAGTATTCATGCATACTTCTAATTTCTGGACAGCTCTATTAATCTAAAGGGATTCTGTCGCTGGTTACAAGAAATAGCAGTACACACAAAACTGGAGCTCAGAGCACTGTACAAGGACAAGCTAATTATGCTTTGCATCTTCTCTGAAGCAAGAAACATTATTATCCTCTTATAAGCGGTCCTGGACTGTCCACCCTTCTGCAATTTAATCACGAGGCTCTGCTGAAAACCTAACCGGTAAAACAGAAATTCTTCAGTTTATGAACACCATGAAGCCTCTGAAATTTAATTACTTCTGATGCGCAGTCTCTGAATACATGCTGTTATTTGTAATATCCCAAGCGATTACAAAATTCTTTTCAGGTTGAGAGAAAAAGCAAAATTGAAATGTTTCACTGCTAGTGGATGAGAAATCTTGAAGGATGGAGGAAAATGAAGAAGACTGGGAAAGAAACTCTTAACCAACAGAAAGATGGAGCAAGAAGAAAGATGACTGCATAGTCTAACTACAGCAAGTTTCAAGAACCTCATAAACAATGCCACAACCAGCTGCAGACCAGCAACTGTCAAACGAGCCTTTCTGGTGAGGCAAAATATACGGTGTACGGCTGAGCATGGAATCTCTATCCATATACAAAGCTTATGTCTGGATAAAGAGCTTCAACCATTTTAGAAATGCAAAAAAAATAGTTTTTCATGGGTCTACATGCAAATGCATCCTTCATGCTTAAATTCTCTATCCAGTGCTGCAAATGCTAAGCCAGTATCAAAGGCAGGAGCCAAAACAAGTTACAGCTAGGAACATTTTCTGGTCCTGCTGTCCTTCTGTGAAAAACTGGCAACATCTCTCCAGCGTCTCATAAGCAGTAAATTAAAGAACTTGGGAACAGCTTCACACAAACACAATCCATATTCTGCAACAATGCTGCTGCTCTAACATTATCTTGGTTGAAGCTTTTTGCTTGTTTGACTTCCTCTCTTTATAAAACTTGAACATCATGACAGAGTCCATGATTTACCAGGAGAGAAAAAGCAGATCTAATTACTGTAGACTGACTGAATTTTTGGAAAAAATGGCCTCATGAATGTATCTTCTGTTCTCTCAGCACAGGTGTTTAGGGAAAAGAGACAAAAGGCAGATATTACAAACCATTTGCCTTCCTATAAGGAAAGGTTAGAAACAAAGAGTAAGACAAAATGCTTTTGAAGGACAGTCAAGGACTACCAGAGAGCTGAGGTAAGGGCCTATGGGGTTTTGGAGAATAACAGCAATTTTGGACACATGAAGAGGAAATTATGTCTTGAAGAACAGGAATAATCAGCAAGAGTATTGTTGGGTTTTTTTTTTTTTAACCTGGTTAACTATTCTGCTTGTTTCTAACAGCTGAACGTTACAGTGGCTGGAGACAGAAGCTCAGCTCAATGTCCCACTACATTAACCGCACATGACTCTCCTAACCCCACGTACTGGAACACACGGGGGACAGGCAGCCAGCTGGAAAGTAACTTTGCAGAAAAGGACCTTGAGGTCATGGTGGACAGCAAGCTGAACATGAGCCAGCAATGCGTCTTGTGGCAAAGGTGGCCAACAGCCTCCTGGGCTGGATTAAGAAAAGCACTGTGAGCAAGTGGGAGGGAGCTGATCCTTCCACTCTACTCAGCCCAGGTGAGGTCCCATCTGGAGTGCAGAGTCCAGTTCCAGGCTCCACAATACAAGAAAGACTTAATGGAGCAAGTCCAGCACAGGGCTGGTTTAATGGACTGGAGCATCCATCATATGAGGAAAAGCTGAGAGAGCCAGGACTGTTCAACCTGGAGAAGAGAAGGCTCAGGGGGATCTTACCAATGTGTATAAATAGCTGAAGGGTGGGAATAAAGAAGAGGGAGCCAAACCCTTCTCACTAGTGTCCACTGACAGTAACAAGCAAAAATTCCAAACTAGGAAATTGAATCTGAGTACAAGAAAACATTTTTTTTTTAACCATGAGAGTGGTCAAACACTGGAACACGTTGCATGGAGAGGTTGTGACGTCTCCGTCCTTGGAGATATTCAAAACCTGACTGGACATGATCCTGGGCAAAATGCTCTAGGTGACCCCGCTTGCGCAGGGGGTTGAACCAGATGATCTCAAGAGGTCACTTCCAACTAAACGATCCTATGACTGTATGTGCTATGTGCCAAAGGATCAGCAAAGAGGCAAGACAATTCAATGTCTATTTGGAATGACCTGGGTTTTGGCCTTTTAGAAGTGCACTCTTGGGAGTGAAGGAAAGACACTGAGCAAGTCCCTGCTGCTCCTATATGAGGCCTATGTGGTCTCACAGCAAGAGAGCAAAATGGCCTTTGGATGTCCATCATTTACTTCTCCTTACAAAATGCAGGGGTGCTTGTGCTACTGAAACCAGATTAGAAATTTTCCATTTCCTCCCTCCATTACTGTCTCCCTCCTTCACATCCATGAACACGTTTCTACAAACTAACATAATAGCCCTCCCATGTAAAAACCAAAATACTCACCCCAAAAACTACTGAACAAAAAACCCCAACAGAATGACTGCTACATTTTGAAAAAATTAATCACTTCAGTGGTCTGAATTATCAGCTGTCTCCAAATCACTTGTTCCAGTGTAATGGAAGGCAAAGAAGCTGCAGCACATGGGTGGAAACACACTGACCTCCCTCCATCACAGCACGAACAATACAAGTGGAACCAGGTTCTCTCAATGTGATGCACGCTGGGAAGGGCTCATCCTCCTGTCATCCAAAATAAAAAGAAAGAGGGCACCATTGCCACCTCTCACTCTTGTGGGATCCCAAAATTTCTCACAGGTTAACCCAGTGTGAGGTTCCTCTATGAGGTACAGTTGGGGCTAAACTCTACACTCCTGATTCTGTCGAAAACCTATGCTGGCGTAAAGCAGGGCTGGTATGAGAGCCTGCCATAATGATAAAGGCGAAGGGTTAGCACAATCACCTGCAATGCCTAATGAATGTTTAAGCACAAAATTACATTTTCAAAATATCTGTTTAAAATGCCCGTTTTAGAGCAAGGAGTGGAGATTGCTTTTATAGTAACAGTCCAGCCACATTTTCTTCCAACAAAAGCATTCTCACCAGGAGGAACTATTACATGCATTCAAATTGTCTATCAAAATGTAACTGCTAATTAAGAACAAAAATTACTGTGAAATTGCAATATAGGCTCCATTTAATTTTACTGGGAATTCCAGGCCTTTACTGTCAGGAGAGTAACACCTCTCATCAGCTCTGCAGACACCAGAATGAGTCACCTATCATCCTCTGTTTTTTCCAATTAATGATGCGGACTGTTTTCGTACACAAGCCAATGATTAACTATAATTGAATGTTTGGTGGGTTTATTTGGTTATACTACATAGAATTTAGCAAAGATGTCACAGTGCTACAGAGGAGCTCTTCCTTTCCCCCCTCATATTATTTGATGCTTTTCATACAAAAATACCGTTTAATATTTGCTGTGAAAGGCTTCAATAATAAATGAGAATCCCAAGTGGGTCTGTGCCTATACTCAAGACCAAGAAATATCACTGGACTTCTCCTTTGTTCAGGTCGTGCTGGCAATTACGACAAGCAGCATGGTTGATTTAAGTGCTATGCCATCAAAACGTAGAATGAAAAACAATGACATCTGGGAGTTTTCTTCTAATACAAACTTAATTATTAATCAAAGCTATGACACACACTAAACATTGGCAAATGGCTCGAGAGCATCAAGAATTTATCTTTCTCAGTGGAGTCTTTAAAAGTCTTTTAATAACCAGATGACAGGAGTAATTCACATCTGTGCAGCCCCCAGTTAGATTTTTGACCTAATACAGTTTGTAACATCCATGCGTAAGGCAATTTTTTGGGAGATGAGGGGAAGGGTGAAAATAATCAGCCAAGTTTGAAAAGTTTATCCTGCTTTCATTGCAATTACGGATCTTTAAGCTCCCGCTCTCAGAGTTCTACAGATTTTTAATGAAGACTGCATATTTGTCCAGTATTTAGGATAAGAAATTATTTTATTTAAAACCAAATAAACTACTGTGCAAACAATAGATCCACCTATTAAACATAAATTCTTCTATAGAGGCTAACTATTAGCACCAATCTCAGTGCTAGTTCCTGCAACATAGGCAAGTTACCAATGAGTGAAAGTTTATTTTATAGGCACCGAGCAGTTTTTATTTAAAAAAACCAATCTACAGGTCTGTAGAACTGTGGCAGCTATTTTTCTCATTCCTTTTTGAAGTAGAGCACAGCGATTACATGCACCAGATGGTAACATTTTATGCACATTGATCTGGACTACCTCTGAAATAGCAACTGAATGTTAATGAGGGGTAGCTGAATTGCTGAACTGCTTCTCTGTATGTCCCTATGTTTTAAACATGGTTTCTTATTTTGTGACTGATGGTCTTGCTAGGACCAGGATATCACACAATGTGCATTTCTGTATTTAGATAACGTGAGCTGAATTTCACTGATAGAGGAAATCGGATCCATATCAGACAACTGTGGCTTAGAATGAGACTAATCTACAACTCTTCTCAAACTTTCAATTATTGGATTTTATTTTTTCAACTAACTCTTGCAGTTTCAACAGCTACAAAGAAATATGCACGCTCCACAGAAAATACAAATACTACTGTTTTACATACTTGTAGTGTATTTCCTTCAGGAACTAAAAAAGCAGGTTTTCCAGCTTATTTGACCTTACCTTGTAAACTGTAACTCTGATCAGACCTGACTGTTTGGTTTGAATATGAACTTAAGTCCACTGCAAAGAACCTGGTTTAACTCCAACTCTCAGTGTCCTTCTATTAGGGTCAATGAGAAAAGCTCATTTGGGAGAAGATATACGTAAGGGAGGAAGGAATTAGGTGGTCTGCACACACACACGACACATGCATCCATATAGCTCTGAACTGAAAGCTCACAAACAGCATTGGGGAAACACAACTGCAACCAAGCACGCACACTGTAAATATAATGAAAAGAATATTGCAAACTGTCCTGTGGTAAATACAAGAAAATAATCTTTCTGTACACCAAAATGCTTAGAAAAGAAAGATTTGAAGTAGTAACAAATTAGTGATTGGATTTCTCCCCTCCGATGCAAGCTCCCCCAGTACCTTCCCCCTTCCTCCCCCTTAAAGTTTATCATTCTGATACCTTTAAAGAAACCAAGTTTCTAGAATAGGAATTTTGCAGCAAGCTGGCAATAGATGCCCAATTACCTAAAACATGGTGGTATTTCCACACACTCCATTTATTATCCTTTCTCTAAACTCTCTCCTGCAGGACTGCCTGCCTCAGCTTCGGAGGAACTCAGTCCTTCTTAGCAGCACCATCACCTCAACTCACCTTCAGGCATCTGTAAGGGCCCCTCCACTAATCTCTCCAACCTGAATTTATTCATCTTTCTTCATTATCCCCTTGCCTGCCACATCTTCTCCACTAAAACCAACTAGCCAAGTACTCTCATCTTCCTTAGCCTCACTGGTTCTTATTCTCTTTTCCCTTTTTCTTAGAAGAACAAAATCTCTTTTATGACAGGTTTTTCTATGAAAGCTACAAATGAAACAATACTCTGTGCTCTTAAATTTTGTGAAACGTCCACCCATGTAGGCCCAACAAATGCCTCATAAATGTTAAGCAATCTTCAATCAGATACTGAATGACAGATGAAGCAGAGAAAGAGATAAGGATGCTTTATACAACATCATCTCATCTGGTTACTTGCACTGGAGTGTTAGAGGCAGATTAAACTGTACAAGATGCCACATGCTGCTGCCCATTTTTTTCAAAAGGAAAAAACCCAAACTACATGTGACAATATACACAGCCTGAGTCAATGATGTAGCATTTAATTTAGCTAAATCATGTTGGGAAATGCAGGTGCACGGATGCTTGTATCCATGCAGCTTTTGGTGCACTAGGTATTTACTTATATCAGCATTACAAACAAAAGGATTTTAACAGTAGAAAAAAGGCTTCTCAGTGCCTAATCTCAATTTACAAAGAACTAACTTCTGTTACAATCAATAAAAGCTGGATCAGACCACAGTGCAAATGCACTGTAGGAAAACTTGCTACAACAAAAATGCCCACTTCAGCAAGACAATCCGTTCTCCCCTTCTTAATGTATTTAATCTACATTAAGAACTAGTATTCCATGTGAATCTGAAAGGCAAGTATTTCACACACATACTCACATAGGTTGATACATAGCTATAGCTATATCAAAAAGGATATGAATAACTCCTTCATCAACTCTGCAGGCAGAAGTCTGCAGTTGATCTTCCAGATGCACCAATTTCTCACTTATTGCTTCACATTTTTCTCCCAGCTCTGCAGAAAATATGAAGAACTCCTACAGGAAGTTGAAAAAGAAGAGAAAGCATGTTTGCTGCTGACTGCACTTTTCTACATCAAATTTGCATTGAATTAAGGGGAAAATAAAATATTAGTAAGGGGATATGATACTTTGCAGTGCTAAGACATTGCCTGAAAGCAAATTCCCATTAGAGAGACAGAAAGTTGTTAATATATAATAAATTGCTGATTTATATGAAATGGAATGAGCTTGTGGTTTCAGTCTATTTCCCAGCAGAAAAAAGCCATGATCTCACTTTCAGCGGAGGATTAAAGGGGTGTGAAGACTGAACTCCTCTCCCTCTTCCCTGTTGTCTCACCACAGCAGGGGAGGGAAATCCCATGCTGACTACACCATTTAGGTTCCTAAATTTCCAGTTGTTCATGTAAATATGATTTACACTTTTAGGCCATTTAAATATTTCAAGCTGCATCACTTTTGGTTTCTCTTATAAACACAGAATATACTTACTTCTTTGAGGAAAAATCTGGCTAGAATACTTGGGGACTTTGCTCAACTGATCAGAGAAAATGCATCAAAGTCTTAGAGATTACAAGATGAAACTACATTTTTTTTACTGTGTTATCATGAAACAAGGCTAAATTTTCAAAAATAATGCTTCTCTACTTAGAACTTATACAGACAAATGCTTTTTCTATTTTAAACTGAGTATTTTAAATGAGTTGCAAAGTTGTTGCCATAAGTTTGTCTGCTTTCAGATATACTGCACAAGGGTAATTTGTGCCTTTTATGTTTTGTATTGAGTACTTCTTCAAGAAACAACCCAAATAAGCAGCGAATACAAGAGGGGAAGGGGGAAAAAAAAAACCGAAACCAATTTGTGCAGCACTGAGACAAGCCTCTCCTCTCCATCCCAAGGCATCATAAGGCTGTCTACAATGAATGACAGGGGTTATCCATAAGGAAAAGCTTAAGATGCCAAGATGAGGTTCTGCTGGAGCCACATTGAAAAAACTGGAGTCATTCTTCAGCTGGAATCCAGAACTGGATTTTCTCTAGACCTAGTCTATGCACACGTCCATAAAGCCAGCTGCACATGTGGCCATACACAATCTTCAGAAAAGTTTTTTTCTTTAAAAAAGTACTTGGAGTCCTTTTCACTGCAATGTTGCTATAATAGCAGCCGTCAGTGGTTGTTTAAGAGAAATCAAGCCTTCAATCAAATGCCTTCCAAAGAAACTGTGCTAATACTTGTTGGAATGCTGCCCATTGTGAAACAATCCGATTTTCGGTAAACACATTTAGCAGACCTCAGTTCTGTGCTACCCTTACACTTGGCATCACACAGCGCATACAGAGAGTCAAATGTCAGAAGAGGTCTGCTTGCTGGCACATCCTCCATCACAGCACAGGGCTTCGACCTTTCTGCTTTCCTAGATCTCCTGCCAGACGGGGCTACCCAGCAGCTCGCACGGGTACGCAACCAGCTGCAGCTCAAATCCTGGACGAGCAAGCTGGTTAAGAGAGGTTACGTTGTGAACAGCCACAGCTTGGACACAGAGAAGCAGAGTGTGAGAACCAGCTGGCTGAGTCCCTGCCTCTGCGCACGAGACCGGAGCAGTCATCTTCAGTCTCATTACCAAGCATCAGAATCTCCAGCAGCACTCCACAGAATATATAGACATTAAAAGGACCCGTTGTTTTTAAAATGAGGGAGGAGAAGGTACACGGTCTCTCTACGGCAACTGGGAATGTCCTTTTCTCAAGACCAGCGACAGAGGATGAGGAACAAGTCTTCCACATCAACAGAAAGCTTTTAGGGAACTATTCTGTGACATGCATGCAAGAACAGGTGACAGTTGCCTAAAAGAACCTAGGTCTCAGGCTAGAAGAGTCAGTAAACTGCAAAAACCTGAAATAATGACCATTCATAGGAAACTCCACCTCTGAACACTGTTTTTTCTCTAACAGTTAATTACACACATAAGAAAATCAGGTCTTCACACAGCCATCGTCTCAAACGCAAGGAAAACAAGACAAAAACCACTCAGTGCTATACAAACATTGAACAGTTAATTTAGGAAGAACAGCTTTTAATTAATGCCCAGACCCCTAAGTATTGCTCTGACAGACAAAAAACATAAGTGAAGTTTTCAAACCAGACTTTTTCTACAGACTGTGGACTTCAACAAAATGAATTAGTCCTGTACAGATCCTGAAGAAGTGGTATCTTCTAGTGACACATAAAAAGCTGATTCTTTCTCTTATAACATCAAGATATCGCATACTTTGGTGTGATCCAGTCACTGCTTTTAATCAGGAACTATTATTATATGAGATTTTGGATCACATTCATGCTGTTAAGAAGGATGATGCTTCTAGTCCTGATTCGAAATAATCAGTTACTACAGACAGCAAATTTAAAAAAAAAAGTGCATGTTACAGTACACTCCTGAATACCTGTGCCATTAAGTACATCTAAATATAAAAAGCATTATAAAGACACGCATTTGAGTAGGGTATCCCTTTCTTTTTTAGGGTATTCTGTAGCAAAGGCATCTCACGGTGCCTTGCATCAGTACTAACCTGTATTTTGGGGTTCTAAGGTTTGGCTGGTAGCTTCTGCCCCACTGCAATTCCAGGCAAAGATGTTATTACTGCGTTGGTCTTGCGCTAAACATGTTTGGGAATAAGACACTATAGTTTTTAACTCACTGGCTTTAATTCATTTGTCAACTGAATACTTAGATTCTCACTCAAATTAAAACGTCCATTCTATCTCATGTAAAAAAATACCGTGCATTCCTCCTGAATGATCACACTTTGAGTGCATAATGAATTGTCTAAAAATGTAACACAACATCCTGTTTACTTTGGAAACCAAGATAAATGAACAATGAATACCAGGAAAACGTGCTCAATGCAGAACGGTTACGAAGATATGGGAAGGCAGGGAAATCTGAGTAAGTAAAAATCGGATCAGACTTGTTTAGGTCTTTAAAAGCATTTAATCATAACTATATGCCTATGGTTACATTGCAGTGTAACAAATAGCTCCATAAGGTAGGGGTTATATTCTATTAATCCTAAACTCCTGACAGGTATTTTGCAGCTTAGTTCCTCTTTAATACAGCAATGATAGTGTATGGCTGAACTATTTTTGCACTTACATGACACAGCTGCTTTTTTAGATGAAATGAGAAGTTCCTCCACAGTTTGGACAAGCATCGTCTCTCAGGAACTTACTTGCAGGCATCACGTGAAAAACGCAGAATATTTTACAGAAAATATATGTATATGTGGCCTTTCTTATTTTGGATTGGAAAGATGTGGTCATGCAGAGAACTCTAACTTTAGTTTAACATCAAAAGGAGTTATAAATTAAATTTAAAAAAAATGCTGCTCTCAAAAATATACAAGAATAATTCTAAATGTTCAACCAATTCCACAGTTTCTGCCCCCAGGCCCTCATTTGAAAAAAATTCGATAATCCAGAGAAGTAGATAGGACAGATTTCTCTCAGTGCCTTTCATGCCTAGTAACATCACTAGTAACACTTTTATTTGACATTTGTCTATGTAGGCAGGGAAACAGCTGTCAGTGACATACAAACTATTCAGAACAGCTCCCAATTGGAAAATGGCGCTTTACACTGATCCACAAAATCTCTGAGAGTGGACTCTGCCTCCAGCTCAACATATTAATAAAATACAGCTCATCCAAGCTTGTCGGTTATGTCAGTGCTACAAGCTACTGTAAGTCTTAAGACTTCTTTGGTTATTTTTGCACTAACAGCAGTTTTAGGAAGCAGCTAGGAGAGATTGCAGGAGTCAGGGAAGAGCTGAGACGCAATATTGCTTTATGGATTTTTCTGTGAACAGCAGATGTAGCTGGCTGGGATTTTCCGCCCCCCCCCAAACCCTTAAGCAGGTGAAAACAGCACAAATGTGGGTGTGATTTGTTATTTCTTAAGGTGGTAACTAAAGAAATTCTTCTGCCTTCTCACGCAAAATAGAAATTCTCACTTACTCTCCCAGAGATGCGAGAGTCTGATGTGAGAAACAGGAAGAACAGACAATGTTCCAGCTGATGCACAGCTGGAGCATCAGCACACTGAATTCAGATCAGAGGGAACAGCTTCCACTCCAGTCTTCTGCATTTCAATTTACTCTTTTACAAGTCATTTTAGTCATCTATGAGCAACAGCTCCTTGACAGCATTACTCAAGGGAAATGTTTGTCAGCTTTTCCGGTGCAAACACCTTCCATGCTCTCTTGGATCTAGTTCAGCAATTTTATATAGAAGAATCAGTATTCTAGTAGCTAGATTAATCTAACTCTATTAGGGATTAGAGTCTCTATTAGAGTCTTTGGTGGTTGTGCTGAGAAGCAGGATTCCCAGATATAGCCTTGAATTTTGTTCTTCCTACAGAGGAACTTTGTAAAAAGGCATTGCTTTACATCAAACTATCACAACCCCAATAAGATATGTAAAATAAAAGCCATAGAAGACCTTCTGCAGAACATCAAAGCCAAATGTCTTTCACCTGTATTAAATCCTCTCCCACCTACAATAGTTAAAATTATTCAAAATAACATAAATAACAACTATGAAGAGTTGCTCTTGCAGACAGATACTTCGCTTCATGGTGCAAGGTTTAGAACAGTGACTTATTGTTGGTAGAAGTGCTGCATGCTTACTCTTACCCCTTGCAGAAGTCAATGGAAATTGTGAGCACTTGAAGCTCCACAAAGTCAGGCCAGGGCATCTCTTAATTTCTAGAAACAAAAGGCAACCATCCATACGTTTGTCCCACTTGAGCAGATGCTTCAGTCACATGCGCACGTGCTACGCAGCCACGAAACTTCCAAATCAAAGGTGGAGGAACCATTTGTCCCCACTCTGCGTTCCAGATTTCCTGCCCTCCATGCATAGTCCTGGGCAGGTGGCGTAGATGAGGAGGGCGAAGTGGCCACACAGAACAGGCCTAATCTCTTACTCTGAAAATAATGTGTGCTGCTCATGACCAACACCATCCTAGCACCATGGCAAGGCTGACCAGGAAGCAACCAGGGACCGTCAAAGCCCGCTCTGTGACTTGCAGCAAGCTCAAGCCCACGGTGACTGTCCTCAGCTGGTGTCTGCCTACACAGCTTTTAGCAGCTGACAGGGGTTTTGTGGTTCTAGTTTGCAAGGCAAAGCCAGATCCAGGGCTAAACCAACCGCCCATGCAGCAAGCAAGTTTTCCTAATGCAAACTTCCCTTGCTACAAAACCAAGACGGTTACATTTCATTTTACCCTTACACAGCACACAATAACTAACCATTGTCCTCTTTATCATTATTTTTAATGTGATTGAAGTCTTTGACTTTCAACCAGACTAGGATTTTTAAAGCTTTTATTTCTATTCCTTTCCTTCCTTTTCTTCAGTGTGCTCCTGTCTTCTAGAGTGAGGTGCCCAGACCAGCGTCGTAGTCCTCTGGAGGCTTCGATATTCTCAGCTAACACGGTAATTATTTCTGTCTTACAACTGACATTCCCATTAATGAGGCTGCAAATGACATTTGCCCTTTCTTGCAACAGGATGAAGGTAATGAATCCCACTGTATTTGTAGTCCACTATAACCCTAGATTCTGCTTCTGCAGTATTGTCATCTTAGCTGCTATTTACCACCTGTATACATAAATCCAACATTTTTTCTTCCTCACATGTTATTTGCACCTGTCTTTTAACATATCCCATCTTATTGATTTCAGGCTATTCTTTTAATCTATCAAGAGCATTTGGAATTCTAATCCTAATTGAAATTATGTTGACTGGCACATAAACTCCTGGCCTATCCTCTTTTTAAAGGCAAACACTAAGTCTGCCTTTTACTGATCCCTTGGGACTTCAAGCTTCCTCTAGGAGTTTTCAAAGAAGCTCGTTAATGGTTTGGAGATTGTTTTTCTTGGCCCCTATGCACTCAGAAGAAATTTCATCAGTCTAGCCTGACTCGAGTACATCTCCATTGCCTTAGGACCCTGCACTGTGTTAGTCTCTTGCTACCTTGTAGTGAATACTAAGAGCACTACCTGTATGGACACAGTTCATCATTTTTAGAAAGACCAAAAGCAAAGAAAATAAGGAAGAAAAAACAGTATTTCTGCCCTCTGCTCTCATTTCATTATTTTCTCATTCACCTTTCTAATTAGAAGACAGACATGCTTTCTTTCACCTGTCCCTTGCATACAGCTTACCCCTGAACTCCCTTGCCACTTGTCATGTCTTTTGCTTACAGTAGCTTAGTGTGTTCAGTGGTCCTGCTGGTTCAGTCTTACACTGTGCAGTACTCTTTCAGGCTCATCCTTAGGGATGTTTTTGTCCTTTCTTTTTCAAAGTTCTTTGGGGCCACTGAAGAGTTGCTGTCCTATAGATTCTGTTATTGTGTTTGCTCTTTTCTGAGCCAAAAGATGATGGTGCTGTACCATAGGCATGATGTTTTCTGGACGGTACCAAAGATTATCTGCTGATTCCTCCTCCTACAGAGTTGGTCCCACAGAAACTCACCTGTTGCTTCCCTGATTTTGTTTAGGTGAGGTTTTTTTTTCCATGGACGTGGTTATCCACCTTTTCTCAGAAGAGGGATCAACGTTGTTTCCCAATTACTTTTGCTCTTATCACCTTCCACCTACAGACTTCTGGCTTGTTCCATCAGCCTGTTTATGTATATTTAGGAGACTGCAGCACTACAACATGCTCCTCTGTTTCTCATGTGCAACGATACAGGCATAAAGCTTTCCAGACAGCTGTTTTGCAACAGTGACCTACCTCCTCCCCACCATCACATGCTTTTCTCACATTCCCTTTGCTTGCACTGATCCCCTTCCCGCCTCCACAGGGATATACCACCACATGGGAGTGTAAATGACTCATCAAGATTACAGCCTGATGTTGGCAATTTTTCCCCTCATGTATCTTCCATTACAGCTATGGAGGAGTGTCCTTGGAAAAGCATCGACGCAGGAATAGAGCTTTCCACTGCCTTCCAGCAACCTGCTGCAGTCTGGGTGACAGCAGTCTTCCCCGCTCTCCTCTCTAGTAGACTGAAGACCATCCCTGAGTGCAGACTTCCTAAAAACAGTGCCGACTACTTCTCTGGCTCATTTAATAAAACTGGGACAATTCCAGCCCCTGCTGTGGGAGGATGAGCCTATTTACTGACTTACCAATAAAAATTCGCAGTGGGCCAGGACTTGGAAAAGAAACAAAAGCACCGAACTCTTTTCCCGTGTCCATACCCTGCTGTGCTAGGAGTCAGCATAGCTGGGTATCATTTATAGGTGGATCCTAGCATTGTTCACTCCCACCTCTGCTCCCGGGTCACTAAAATGACACAACCTGGAATGTCTGACAGGGTGCTCTTCTGCAGACAGTGGGGAGACTGACAAAAGTGGATTAGGGGACCAGGGTGTCAAAGGAACACTTAGGCAAAGCCTTGACATAGTACAGGGTGCTGACAGTTTCACAGAGCTTTTATAGAGCTGTCTCTATAAAACAAAAAAAGTCAACATCAATCCAGCTGTGGCAGTATGGTAGAGCCTGGCTTTCAAGCAAATTTCCATTTCCTTTATTGGTATCATTGCTCTCTATTATCTTTATGCATTTTTTTTTCCTTCAGAACTTCAAAAGGGTAAAGTTCCTCTGCTTGTGAGGACTCGAAGATATTAAGCTCCTAGTGAATACTCCTGCAGCGGCAGCCCTCTATGCCTGTGAGCTCTGGTGCATTTGCAAACTCAGCACATGCATCACACATGCTCTGGGCACACCTCCTGTTAAGCAGAACAATTTTTTCAGTCAAGGACTGGGCTGTACCTACACCTTTCAGTGCAGGTCTCTGCTGTACACGAGCTTGTAGTTGTATTCTCATTTGCTTTGGTCCAGACCATACGCATTTTTTAGTTTCCAGCAAATACTCTGCTGTCTTGGCAGCTATTGCTACCAACGTACCCTCAGTATTTTGCCCTGCTGGCAGTAGGGCTTTTTGCTACCTTTATCCTGTGGGACTACCTGCCCCTGTTTCATGTACTCTGTGGACACAAGCACCTCCACAGTTTTGATTTAATTCACAGCAAAGTTCACTGATAAGAAAGGCTATTTGCATTTCTGCAAAGTTCACCTTCACTCCCAAGGCTTGCTGTTTTTATTTATGCTGAACTCACACACAGCCAAGCAGTCCATCCTAGGCATGCTCTCATATCACAGTCTCCTTGTACACAAGGTCAACAATTTGAGTTTGGTCTTGCAGTTAGATTATTTTTCCTGGACATTCCAGCTGCTCCACAGTCTTTGGATTCATTGGTGGGAATCCAAAGAAATGCCTCATCTGCATAGTTATCCCAAACTGCAATTTTTATTTATTTCTTTACTTAATGTTTGCTTGGCTGAGCACTTGTCACTTGTACTTGACAGGTGGCATGTATGCTGCTATGGAAGGTGAACTGGGGGTTGCTTACCCGTGTAATTAATTTGCTAGCTGCACACAATGCTTGGATACTAAATTTCTTTAATATGTAATTTGCAACCCAAGGTATACCACTATAAAAATGGACCAGACTGGTTCAGTACAGCTCTTAGAACCAGTATAAGTCTCCTTACACATATATTACCTAAACTCTTAGTTTGTATATAGGCAGATTTTTGTATGTAAGCAGATTTTTCTCATCACTTAGTCTCACAGGAAATGCATCTCATGTTACTCAGTTATCCTAGACTGTCTTAAATATATAGACTAGGATCTTACATATTTTTATTTACGAAAATAGTGTAAAATGACAAACATCCAGTCTTCTTATTCAGATGAAATTCATACTACCCTGAATTCTGCTGCAGTATGCTTTTATACTTCAAAAGTAAATTCAAATGTATTTTTAGTGGTACACAAGGAAACAAGTAAAGCGTCATGATTTTCTTCCATTCCTAACCATCAGTGCTACAGTTAGGTTGGCTAAATATCATTAGTCCTACTTTTCCCCAACACATTCATCCGGTTGTCAGTATGCATTAAAAGTACTAGCACAGGATTTAACTATAAGCTCCCTGAAATGCACTGCAATTTTGCCATTATCTTCAAAGGAAAAAAAAAAATAAATAGGCCCGCTCCAGTTGTGCCTGTGTTGCTTTTCTAAGTGCTCGCTCACTCTCTAGTAACTTTTACCCAAAGGTAATACTATAAAAACAAGTGTCATTAGTTCTAATTGAGACCCAGAAAAGTCTGTACAGTATCACCACTTTATACAGCCTAGAAAACGCTTACCTCAGATAAATGACCCTCTGCTCCAAATGAAATGTCTTCCATAACCTGTTAGAGATAAATTATTAAGTATACAGTAGATACATGCTATATAAACAGTAAGATTTCAATGGAACATACAAAAAACATATAGCACATTAAAAAGTTATATAAGCTGAACAATTACATCATTTTGCTTCTCATGCATGAGACATTTCAATTGCATTTATAATGGAGCCGTGGCAGCCACCCAATAGCTAATGCTAAATTTGAATACACTTTATTAAAGCCTGCCTTTGGCTTCCCAGTTAAAACCCACAAGGAATACTGCCTCTAAAACTGAAGGACTAACTATAGATTGAAACAAACTTTTCTATCAAGCTCTTACGGATCTAGAAGCCATTCAAAAGTCTACAGAAATATTTTTGGCACAAACCCCATAAGTGATTTTGGGCAGGAGAAACGACAGACATCACTGATGTGTTGTACTGGTAACATGTACTAATTATAGTCAGTTCTCTTTCAAAACTTTTTCATCTGTAATGTCTATAAGAAATTAGCCAATATTTCATTCATTGGCTGAAGAGCAAAGAAATTTTGTGTTAACATTATTGGAAAATCATTAATACTTATCACACATAACAGTATTGATAATCTTTAAATAAACTGAGATAGGGATATTGCTTTGGTAGGGCCATACTTCATATCCCAGTTATGTACACACGCGTATATAAAATAAAGTGCAACACCATTACTCTGCCATAAGATCATTATTATTACTGGGTACTATTTTCAGTAATCTATCTGAAAAGAGGTTGCTTGGATTTCCTTTACCTGTGATTTAATTTTCTGATTATATTTTTACTGCAAAATACACATAAGCATTAAGCTTACTGAGATGCTACGATCTCTAGCTAAAGAGTAAGCATTTTTACCAGTAGATACTACACAAGAGCATCACACACAGTTAAGGGGCATCTTTCTGCACAACGTGTGTGCCTGTACAACAATGATCTGATCGTTGTCTACAAGCCAGTTGCCTGGTGCTACACAAAACTTTTCCAGCTTGGATTAATACAAAAACCCATTCAAACACTGACTTTCACTGATGCATAATGCTGACATTTAAAATGAAGACTAAATTTGAAGTTTTCAAATTATTTTTGAAGCTCTACAAATATAGCAGTTAATTCAAACTCAAATGAAAGCACAGTTTATTTAGCTTTCTAAAGGCTCTGTCCTTTACACGTTGCACATTGGTCTCCTGGACCACAGGCTATCTCAGTGCACAGTAATGAGTTGCAGCCTGCTGACAGAGGCTTTCTTGGTGCTTGCTATCGCTAAATTCTCAAAAATGTTGTGTCATATCCTATGATGACTTCTTTTTAATGACAGGCACCACATTAAATATTAATTATTATTTTTCATGATTGTCCACTTAATATCACTTAGAACACTCAATTATCTTTTAAAAAGTTAACCAAACGAAGGCTTTGCAATTACAGAACACCTTCCCAACATCAGAGAGGCTCTACAAAAGACTCCAAAACATCTCCCAGATGGTGAAACTGAAGCATGCAGAGGTAAGGAAAAGACAGCAGCCCTTATTCTAACCCCTGCTCTCTGTTTCTTTTATGGTGAAAAGAGAGAAATGATCTACAGAGTTCCGATGGAATAACTACCAAAAATGCTGACTTACAAAAGGTAACACTACTGATTTTTGTTTTTTACCTTGAAACTTTAAATCACCTCAATTTTCTTGAAATCTAGTAGGTGTTTCTTTCCTTCATAGTGATTAAGAGGGAGCACTGCACAGCATGCCAGAGAGCAGAAGAAGAAGAAGAAGAAAGGATAGGTCAGGAACTCAAGCCTGCAGGTGCACACATACTCATGTTCATCAAAATACTTGGTGTTAGAGAGGTCCCAGCACACACACCTCTCTCTGTTAGTAATCATCAGTGTTTCTGGTGTTACAAAAAGGTTTTGCTTACACATACATTATCAACAAGCAAAAAATAAAGCAAGTTATCATAAAGAGTGGAACAAGCAGGCATTAAACGTCTGAAGAGAAATGAAATGTTACTGCATATTTTAGAAATCATCTAGATATGTATCTAACTATGTAATAAAGATCATAGTGACTTCCACCTCATTCACATGTCATGCAGGCAAAATAATCTGCAGTCAGCTTAAAAACGTGGAACATTTCTGGGATGAAAACTAGAACATATCTTAAATTCCATGGAGACCTGGGAGGAAAAATCAAGCCCAATTAGTCACGAAAAGACAAACTAGAACTGCAATGATCGGGCACACTAATTTCATCAAGATAGCTACCAGCTAGAGAGTATATGCTTATATGAAAACTCAAGAATTTATCTCAAATACGTTAGACAAGCAGCTGACTTTGACATGATCGAGGCTAGTAATATTGTCTATAACTTTGCTTCAGCATTTTCTTAAAATACTATAATCTAATTAATTATCTGTAATTGAGAGGAGTACATCTTAATTTTTAAGTAACTTGGAGTGTTCCACAGGACGATTTTTTGTTGGCCTCACTTTATTTAGTTTTGACCAAAAAAATTAGTAGTGATGTTTCAACTAGCTGAGCTGCCAAAGCACGTGGCTGTCTTCCCTGTTTAACAGTCAGCATTATAAAGGAAACTGATTTACTAGATTATTTTGGGATGCCACAGTCTACCACATAAACAAACTGGGGAAAAAAAAAATCTGTACTGCCTTAGAAAACACAGTTATGAAGACTATAAAGCAACTATTGACAGTTAATAAACCTGTGCTCACAGAATACAGTAAAATATCTGAACTTTCAAAGAATTTATACCTTACATATTTTATACCAGAACATGTCATATGTTACGTTCTAGTGAGAATATTTAATTAAAAATTAAAAATGGCCCCTTTGCAAAGCAGTATCTGAGAATCTAAGTGAAGGGTTCTTTCCATTCGTCTATTTTGCTTTTCTTATTATTTTTATGTTTCTTATTTGTTTCTTTGTTTTCTAATGAAATTTATACAGTCAGATACAGCTATACGCAAGCAAACTGTATTTATATATACATCAGCAAAACCAATATCCACTCCACAGTAACACTTAGCCAGCTACGACATGATAAATAACTGGAGAGCTTCATTTATAGCATTTCACCATAGAATAAATCAATCACCTCAGACTGAAATGTACCTTCCAAGGCATATATGCACATATGCTATTATTACCCTTTCCTGTACTGTTTTGAAGCAAGTAATTCAGTAACCTCTAAATAGAAAGAATGCCACTCTTCCCTTTTGCTTCAGCAACCAACAGCTCGCTCTACAAATGCCCCAATGGGAAACAGATGTGACACAGCTGAAGATCGTAGTCATTCTAGAAACATGGCAACCACATCAAGCTACTCCTCTCTCAGGGACACCACAGCCTTGTTAAACAATATCAGACCAAGTATTTTGACAAATACATGCTTTTCTATTAGGTATCCTCACTTGCTGATAAATGGCTACAAAAAGCTTCACTACTAATGGATAACAGTAAGTTTTTCCATTAAAGTCACATAAATGCCTAAAATTAGAGACTAAAAGCCACACCACCATTTTATTTTATTTTTTGCCACAAACTTTAAATTATTTTTAAATAAAAAAAGTACAATACCATATAACAGAGTACTTAAATACTACAGAAGTGCTTTGTCTTTCAACTAAGTCCATTTACAAATTAAGACATTTTCTCTTGCCCTTCAACATGTCTCTGTTTATAGAGACAGAGAGAAAATTATCAAAAAGCAAGTTCAGGAGGAAGAGCTTAATGGAAGCACTGCAAATATGCTTTTCTCTTCCATTAAACATATGGGCAACCTGTCCCTCTGAGTCCTGCACCTCTCTCCAGAACCAGAAGTCCCCTCACTTCAGTTACGTAGATGTCATTCTAGCACAGCAATGCTGATTTCCAGGGAAATGATTTGGACTTGCAGGGGAGAAATGGGTAATCATCTACAGCACAAATCCCAACAGTGCTACAGAAACTGCCACAAAACCCCAAACCCTCCAGAGCTTCTCAGTCCCCCTTTTGAAAGGGGAGCACAGCTTTCCATAACCAGCAGAACTGCTCACATTACTTCAGTGAACTCATCAGGAAAATGGGGTGGG